GAGTTCTAGTCCTGCCTTTGGCAGGAATGCCAGCTAGGTGACTTTGGGCCAAACACCAGGATCTGGAGAGTTCTAGTCCTGCCTTAGTCACAAAAGCCAGCTGGGTGAACCAATCACCAGGAGACTGTGAGTTCTAGTCCTGCCCCTGGCATGAAAGGCATTGGGTGACTTTGGCCCAAATGCCAGGAGGCCGTGAGTTCTAGTCTCACCTTTGACATTAAAGCCAGGTGGGCGATTTTGGGCCAGTCCTTCCCTCTCTCTCAGGCCAACCCACCTCACAGGGTAAGATAAACAGGAGGAAGAAGGAGTATTAGATAGGTTTGCCCCCTTGAGCTACCTATAAAATATATAGTAAAGGCGAAATAAAATCTAATAAATGATTAAACTTGAAGAGAGTAAATAGGATCCATCTCCAGAGCTGATGCCCAAAATGTAGCTCAGGGTTTTTCAAACCTCAGTGACTTTAAGAGGGTGGTCTTCAACTCCCAGAATTCCCCAGCCAGCATGCTTTCTTGACTGGCTGATCTTCCCCCGGGAACATCTCGCCGGCTCCATATCCAGTGGAAACCGCAGAGCTCTCTTTCAGACGACAGAGTGAGTAACACGCACCTTTTGGGGGTGTCCAGTGATGGGTGCCGTAGGAGGTTTGTAGGAGGAGGTACTCAATGCGTCCATCCGTAGCTGCCGTAGCGCATGCCTTGGGTAACCTTCTGAAGATAATCAAGCCACAGGCTCTTAAGCTCATGATGCTCTTACCCAAAAGGAACACAAAGGAGCAGTGTTAGCAAATGGCAAGCTCTGGGAAGGGGGGGGCGCAGCGGGTCACCCCCACAGCCTGGGTGCAATTAAAGGCAAGAAGTAGACCTGAAGGCAGCATTCAACAAAGACGTTTCACAAGTCTTAGCACTGATGATGTAGCCTAGGTGGGTAATGAAATGCCTGCAAGAAAACCACCAAATTCAGGGAGCACCAAGGGCTCTACAGTTCAAATGTAGCTACAGATATTCACGTCTCCCCCCGCCCCCCTCCAAGTTTTACTAGATTTTTATTTTTAAGTAAACATCAATATCACTAGATGAACAATGTGGTCCCTGGGTATAGTTCATTTTGATACAGACATCAATAATGCTATTCATAATAGTTGTTATATTAATCAAACCAAGTATCAATATACATGGTTTTTTTAAAAGTAGCTATTCAATATTTCAATATTCCATTTTTAATGCCAATGATATTACAAGCATACGTGGTAATACCATCTTCCAACTTCTAATCTTTTCCATCAAATTATTACTTATATTTTATTATATAAATATTCACTTCTATTGGTATCTAGCTACCTATCGGTTTGTCTGTCTGTCTGTCTATATAATTAATACTAGACCAACAATCAAGCAGAAAAAAAAATACCCTAGTCAAGGAACTACCAAGAGCAATCCCACCAACACTAACATGATAAGTTACTGTTACATAAAGAGAGAATAAACCCCACTCCTTTTTAGCCTGATGATGTTACCTATCGGTAGTTGAGTAATGAAACATCCACAAGAAAACCAAGCTCGACCATGCACCTCCTCCTCCTCCTCCTCCACTCCACAATCCCCCCTCCCTTCTAACACTGATGATGTTACCTAGTTGGGTCATGAAAGGTCTGCAAGGAAACTACCAACCTCAGAAAACACCAGGGAACTCACAGTTCTCTTCCACTTCTCTGCAAACCCCACTCCCTAGAACTGATCATGTTACCTAGCTGGGTAGGGAAACATCTTAAGGAAAACAACCAAGCAGAGAACCCCAAGGACCTCACAATTCTCCTCCTTCTCCCCCTCCTCAATTTTGCAAATCCCACTCCCTCTACCACCACTGATGATGTTACCTAGTTAGGTAATGAAAGGTCTGCAAGAAAACAACCAAGGTCAGAGAGCGCCAACAACCCCACAGTTCAAGGATGAGTATCAAACCTTACTCCTTTCTAGCACTGATGATGTCTCCTAGTTGGGTCAGCTCAGAGAGCACCAAGGGCCCCACATTCCTCCTCCCCTTTAATTTCTGTTTCATTCCACAAACCTTACTCCCTTCAAGCACTGATGATGTTACCTAGTTGGGTCATCAAACGTCTGCAAGAAAGCCACTAAGCTCAGAGAGCAACAAGGACCCCACAGTTCAATCCTGAGCTACGAAGATTCTCTTCCACTGATCCTTTTCACAAGTGTGTGAGTGGCCCACAGTAGAGGCCCACATAGAGGGCCATGGTTGAGAGTGGGTCCGGAACCTGGATCTACTCATGCCCTACTTAAACTACTATACCACAAGGGCTGCATTGGAGTTGATGCAAAACCCTCCCTCTCAATTAATATCTGGGTTTCTGGGCGCCTTTACATATTAAACTGGGAGCCAGCTTCCGGTTGCAACCCTTCCCGTGCTGCAATTCTAACAGCAAATAATATTTTAATATTAATATTTAATATTATCATTAATAATAGTAATAACTGCATGAGATTGCAATCAGCTGCACTAAACAATGCACAATTTATTGGGAGCTCATCTGAACAAAGGCCATCAGGCGAGCAGGGAACCCCACCCCAACCAGACACGCCTGCAAGCCCAGCGGACCCCACTGAGAACCACCCGCGGCTGCAACCCGGCATACCTGTCCAAGCAATTCTGCTGGGGAAAAAAGTATGAACAGGTTTCGCAAAGCTGGACTTCAACTCCCATAATCCCACAGTTTTGTGGGCCTAGGATTACGTTGATGTCAAATTGTGGGCGTTGAAGTTCAGCAGTTCGGAGGGTTCGGATTGGGCCAGACACAACCCGGCAGTATTGAGAATATTTTTCAATTGGATCTTATGCGTGTCAATCTCAAGGTTTCTTGACCAATCACAATCGTGTGTTCAACTGTTGGTACAACCGATGCTTCATGCTCATACCCACTGAGGGGACTCCATCCAATCAGCAAGCAACGACAGAAGGCGTAGCCGATTTGGGGGATAGAATGATGATTGGCTTCGGTAGTTTGACAGATGGGGAAAAGACCATTAGAAAGGCAGACTTTTAAAGACGGTCTCTGCGGCTGCTGCCGCTTTCTGTTTGTCTTTTTCCCGCTCCTTTTTTTGTTCCTTCTTTTTGATTGGATACTATAGGCCCCACCTACTTCCTCCTCCATCGTTTTATTGGACGGTTACGGTGACGCAACGGCGCGCCAAAGCGGCGCGAGAGTTTGAAGGCAGGCTTGGTCGCGTCGTCATGGAAACGTGGCCTCGCCGGTTCTCTTCTCACCTTGCTCGGAGTGAGAGAAGCTCCGGGGGTTTCCCGGAAGTTCCGACAGTCGGACCGAGGGAGAGTTCGCCGGTAGAAGGGTAGGGAAGGACCCCCCTCCGGTAAGTAGGGCGGTCCGGAAAGGATTCCGTTCCTCGCCGAGCGAGGCCTCGGCCCCGTTGTCATAGCAACGGATGCGCAACTCGAGCCTGAGGCGTAAAAAATAATATTAATAGCAATTTATTAAGACAGGAATTTTTCCCTTCTCTGAACAACGGGCGTCCAAACTATATTGGAGTCGATTAGCTTGTTCACTAGCTGGCTTTTTAACTTTTTTTTTTGGCCATGTGCGAAATAAATAAATAAATAAGCTTGTTTAAAAGTTTTTTAGGAAGAAAAAAAAAATCCAGAATGGAAGAAAAGTCCTTGAAACCTGCTGGGGGAATGGAAGGAAAAGGACAAAAATCCATGCTTTCTTTGCTCAGGGATTACAGGTAGTCCTAGACTTAGAATAGAATAGGAAATAGAATAGAATAAGAAATAGAATAGAACAGAAGAGGAAATAGAATAGAAGAGGAAATAGAATAAAATAGAATAGGAAATAGAATAGAATAAGAAATAGAATAGAATAGAAAATAGAAAAGAAAAGAATAGAAAATAGAATAGAAAAGAAAATAGAATAGTACAGGAATTAGAATAGTATAGGAATTAGTATAGAATAGAATTCAATTCTTTATTGGCCAAGTGTGATTGGATGGATACACAAGGAATTTGTCTTGGTGCAAATGCTCTCAGTGTACAAAAAAGAAAAGATACCTTCGTCAAGAGTCAAGAATCATCAGGTACAACACTTAATGATAGTCATAGGGTACAATAAGGATAGAATAGAATAGAAAATGGAATAGAATAGAATAGAATAGAATTCTTTTATTGGCCAAGTATGATTGGACACACAAGGAATTTGTCTTGGTGCAAATGCTCTCAGTGTACATAAAAGAAAAGGTACATTTGTCAAGATTCAAGAATCATAGAGCCCAAAATGTCTGCTGTTGACTGTCATGAAGTGAGTTTTGCTCCATTTTACAACCTTTCCACAATTATTAAGCGAATCACTGCAGTGGATAAGTTAGCATCACCCGGTTGTTAAGTGAATCCGGCTTCCCTGTTGAATCTGCTGGAAGGGGAATCGCCTGACCCCGGCCAGGACGCTTCAACCGTCATAAATATGTGCCAGTTGCCAATGGATCTGAATTTTGAGCACGTGACCATGGAGATGCTGCACCGGTCGTAAGCGTGAAAAACGGTCCTAAGTCACTGTTTTCAGTGCCATTGTAACTTCGAACGATCACTAAGTGAACTGTTGTAAGTCGAGGACTTCCTGTACTGAAATTCAGCTTCTTTTGGGAGCAGCTACAGGGAATTGTTGTGTATAAGAGCCTTGTTGTGCAGTGGTTAGAGTGCTGCAAGCTACTTCTACTGCAATTTGGCAATTCGAATCTCCCCAGGCTCCAGGTGGACTCAGCCTTCCGTCCTTCTGAGGTGGGTAAAATGAGGACCCAGATTGTTGGGGGCAAGAAGCTGACTCTGTAAACCACTTAGAGAGGGCTGTAAAAGCACTGTGAAGCAGTATATAGGTCAAATTGCTATTGCTATTCCTTATCTTCTTTCCTTATCTTCCTTCCTCCTCATCTTTCATGTTTCCTTCCATCCATATTTTTCTTTCGTCCCTCCCTCCCTCTCTCCCTCCCAGTGGTTAGAATGCAGTATTGCAGGCTAACTCTGCCCACTGCCAACAGTTCGATCCTGACCGACTGGCTCAGGGTGGACTCAGCCTTCCATCCTTCTGAGGTGGCTAAAATGAGGAGCCAGATTGTTGCAGGCAACAGGCTGACTCTAAACTGCTTAGAGAGGGCTATAAAGCACTGTGAAGCAGTATATAAGTCTAAGTGCTATTGCTATTCCTTCCTTATCTTCTTTATCTTCCTTCCTTTCCTTTCTTCCTTCCCTTTCCTTACTTCCTTGAGCCGTTGTATCACAGTGGTTAAAATGCAGTATTGCAGGCTAATTCTGCCGACTGACAGCAGTTCAAATCCCACCAGGCTCAAGGTTGACTCAGCCTTCTGTCCTTCCCAGGTGAGTATAATGAGGACCCAGATTATTGGGGGTAACAGGCTGACTCTGTAAACTGCTTAGAAAGGGCTGTAAAGCAGACTGTATTGCATTTTTAGGAGGAGATTCCTCATCTGGTCATTCTGTAGCCCAAAGGAAAAAAAAACAGAGGTTGTTGTCCAAAGACAGTATATGCCAGCTCAAGAATGAAGCAATTAAAAACATCAAGGATGCAATGGCCTACTTTATGTAGAACGATAACGAAGAAAGCATCCTTGGACTTCTGGAAGCTTTGCTGACAGGAAAGAATGTACTATTTTCAGCTTCTTGAGATAACCCAGACTTGTTTTACTCAGGCACCAGGAAAATGAGAGGCTTCCAGACCTCTCATCAGCTGTTGCTTTTAAAGCAGATGCTCTATATCGCTTGTGGTGCAGAGGCTTCTCCAGTAAGATCATCAGGCTAAAGTTAGCATGGAAGAATAATCAGGAAATTGATGAGGTTCAGTTGCTTTTACAAATAGTCCTCGACTTACTATCACAATTGAGCCCAACATTTCTGTTCTGGGGAGTTTGGCCCCATTTTACGACCTTTCTTGCCACAGTTGTTAAGTGAGACATTGTAGTTAGAATAGAATAGAATCAATGAGCTGGAATGGACCTTGGAGGTCTTCCAATCCAGCCCCCTGCTCAAACAGGAGAATCTATACTATTTCAGACAAGTGGTTGTCCAGTCTCTTCTTAAAAGCCTCCAGTGATGGAGCACCCACAACTTCTGGTGGCAAGCAGTTCCACTGGTTAATTGTTCTCACTGTTAGGAAGTTTCTCCTTAATTCCAGGTTGCTTCTCTCCTTGATGAGTTTCCATTCATTGTTTCTTCTCCTGCCTTCAGGTGCTTTGGAAAATAAGTTGACCCCCCCACTTCTTCAAATATTGGAATACTGCTATCATGTCACCCCTAATTCTTTTCTTTAGACTAGCCAAACCCAAATCCTGCAGCCATTATTCAGATGTTTTAGTCTCCAGGCCTTTGATCATCTTAGTCGCTCTTGTCTGAACTTTTTCTAGTTTATTTCCAGTTGATAAGTTAGTAACCAGGTCGTTAAGTGAATCTGGCTTCTCGATTGACGTTGCCTGTCAGAAGGTCAAAAAGTGACCACGTCACTTCGGGACACAGCAACCGTCATAAATATGAACCAGTTGCCAAGCATCTGAATTTTGATCACATGACCATAGGGATGCTGTAAAGGTCATAAGTGTGAAAAATGGTCATAAGTCACAGTGCTGTTGTAATTTTGAATGGCCACTAAACAAAACGAAGTCGACTACCTGTATTGGAGCACCCAAAGGTGGTGTTTTTTTTTTTGAAAAGCAACTTGGGACTTTCTTCTCTTTAAAAGCGTTTCACTTCTCATCCAAGAAGTGAAACTTTATCAAAGGTAAAAATCAAAACCAAACAAAGTCCAGTTGCCTTTCAGAAAAAAAAGCACCTTTGGGACAACCATGACCTGGATGACAGGGAATCTCCATAGACATTTTATTGGCACAGTATTTCCAGAACGTTGAGATTTTTTTTTATTCCTTCATTCTTCCTCTCAAACTTTTATAAAAGGAGGAAAAAATTGGCAGAATGGATAATTAAAAGAGTTTGGATATACTACGGGAAGGCTAAGAAGTTATTAGTAGCTCAGGTGGGATTCCTCCATGGAAATGCAGGTATTCCTCAACTTACAACCAGTGGTGGTATTCAATTTTTTTTACTACCGGTTTTGTGGGCCTGGCTTGGTGGGCATGGTGTAGCTTGGTGGGCGTGGCAGGGGAAGAATACTGTAAAATCCCCATTTCCACCCTACTTCAGAGGAAGGTTACTGCAAAATCTCCATTTCCTCCCCACCCCACCAACCTGCCTTCCAGCTCCGTTCTCCTGTGCAGGGCAACCAAAGGAGACCCAGCCGATCAGCTGGGACTCGGGAGGCAGAAAAGAGGTCAACCAGAGGTGGTATTTGCCAGTTCCCCAAACAACTCAAAATTTCTGCTACCGGTTCTCCAGAATTGGTCAGAACCTGCTGAACACCCCCTCTGCTTACAACCACTCATTTAGCGTAAGTTTGAAGTTACAACAGCATTGAAACATGTGACTTACCGCCTGTCCTCACACTTGGGACTATAACTGCATGCCACAATCACGTGATCGGGATTCAGACTCTTGGCAAGTGGCACATGCTTAAGGAAGTTTGCGGCATCCTGGGGTCATGTGATCTCCCTTGGCCAGCTTCCAATGAACAAAGTCAATGGGGGAAGCCAGATTCACTTAATGACTGCACAATTCACTTTACAACTGCCTTACTTAGTAATGGAAATTCTGGTCCCTGTTCTGGTCACATGTTGAGGAATGTGGAAGAAGAGAGACCCTACAGGTAGTCCTCCACTTCTGACCATAACTGAGCCCCACATTTCTAAGGCTTGAGTGAGACATTTGTTAAGTGAGATTTGCCCCATTTTACGACTTTTCTTGCCACAGTTATTAAGTGAATCAGCGCAGTTCTTAAGTTAGGAATGTGGTTGTTAAGTGAATCTGGTTTCCTCATTGGCATTGCTTGTCAGATAGTTGCAAAAGGAGATTACATGACCCTGGGCCACTGTGATGGTCATAAGTTTGAAGCAGTTGCCAAGCCACTGAATTTTGTTCACCTTAACTACGGGGATGCCGCAAAGGTCATAACTATGAAAAACATTTTTCAATCACATTTTTCAGTGCTATTGTAACTTTGAACAGTCCCTAAACGAACTCTTTTAAGTGAAGGACTACCTGTACTGGTCTAACTGGAGAGTAGTTTGTTCCTTTCTCCCTCCCCATGATTGGACACTTGTGTTAGGGATATACACCCTAGCAGAACCTGCATGGCAGTCAGGCAGGCAGGCAAATATGTGAGATAAACGTTGTTGTAGTTTACACTCAGTAAAACAGATACAATGTGCTAGTTAAATAGTTTATTCCAGCAAGATTTATAGCATAGTCAAACAGTCCATATATCACACACTAGTTCAGTCCGTCCGGGGATTAATCAGTTGCAAAGTCCAGTGTCGAAAAAGAGGTCAGTAAACTTACAAAATCAGTCCAGCAATATATCTCTTCATAGTAGAGATATGAAGAAGTTAAACCTCCTTTCTTCTTTCAGCAACAGCAAAGAACACGCAGTTAACAATCCATCTTCGTCAGCAAGCAATCCAGTAAGCCAGCAATCAATCAGGTTCTCTTGCTCCCTCTTATGGTGATTTACAGCCGCACCCAAAATTACATGCTTTACATTTAAAGTGACACACACTTAAATTCACTATCATAGTTTATATATATTATTTTACCCAAACTACGTTAGGTAACCTATGTTATTCCTAACAACTTGTTAAGATGAGGTTATTTTCTGGGTATTTTATTGTCCTAAGCAATAGGCACAAAGTTGAGGAGGGAAATGTGCAGTCAGTCCTTGATTTACAACAGTTCTTTTAGTAACTGTTCAAAGTTACAATGGCACTGACAAGAGTGACTTATGACCTGCTTTCATACTTATGACCGTGGCGGCATTCCCAGGGCCACATGATCAAAATTCAGAGGCTTGGCAACGGACTCATATTTATGACAGTTGCCGTCTCTTCTTTTTACAACCTTCTGGCAAGCCAAGTCGACAGGGAAGCCAGATTCGCTTAACGACCCTGTGACTAAATTAAAACCTGAAATGATTCACTTAACGCCAATGTGACAAGAAAGGTTGTAAAATGGGCCATAATTCACTCAACCAATGTCTCATTTAGCCACAGAAATGTTGGGCTCCATGGCGGTCGTAAGTCGAGGACTACTTGTAGGAACAAGCTGAAGAACGTGATGGAATGATTTCCTTTGAAGAAGGCAAGGTTATTCCTAGGAGGCGCAGTGTCCTTTTTCAGGGAGAAAAATAGA